AAAGTTTGAACATTTTCGTCGTCAGCATGGCGTGATTCAAAGAATGGAGGCTAACATTGAGGGGGAGTGTTGAAAATTCAATATTAGCCTAAATGTTCACACCTAAATTAATTTGATGTCATTGCTTACATCAATTTAGTTTTGATGTCATTGCTTACATCAATTTAGTTAGGTGAAAATTAAGTATTTTTCTCATGTTTTAATTTCAATGGTTTAGATTATTTAGTGTTTATTTTAACGAGTGGTTTAGATTGTTTCTTGTAACCTATAAATACCCTACTTGTATTTGAGTTTTATCATCCAACAATCAAAGCTTAATTATAAGCATTTGAAAGCTTTCTTAAGAGTTCTTCCCTTTAGCAATTTTGTGAGATTATTCTAAAGAGAGTTTTTTTTTTCTTCTCGATCAATTATAATTTTTACTCTATTTTGATTCTACAAGATATTGCTTCACAAACAAGTGATTCTGGTTTCTTGTCATATGGTTAAAAGAAAGATGAAAAAAGAGCATGAAGAAAACCCTTTTTTGATATTATACTCTTTCCCCTATCTAGCCTATCGCAGTCTTGCTTCTCTTCACAAGCTAACATCTCTTTCCCCTCACCTTCAAGTCATTCCACTAATATAATACTCTTGAAGTGGTGTAATAGTATCGGATAACAGCTGCCACTTTGGGGTCTAATAGACCTATAAATCAATGGAAATCTCACCTTTTTTTCCTAGACTGCAGTGCCTTTTAACCTCAGATAGTTTCCATTTCTTATTATGGGTATGGAAAATCCAGTGGCAGGAATCCCATTTATGCACATCAATGACTGACACGTTCAGGACTGCAGCAATCTTAAATGAGTTTGTTAAAAAAGAAAACAATGACCACAACTTTTTTCCACAGGTTGGTTGGAGGGAAGCACGCAGGCAAATGTACTCTTGATTGAATCTTGATCGTCCATTCGGACAATCATCCAACATGGCAATTAAGATGATCTTCTGGTCCCTGATTCTCTTCTTTAGATCTGCAGATGCGCACATTAATAGAGAGTAGTAAATTCTACCAGACACACAGTAATGCAGTATCGCCATCTTATTTCTTTTCTTACTTTTCCATTTTCTTTCTAATGATGGTGATGTTCATTTAATGTTATATATATTATTAAACTTTGAGGTGATATCTGTGAAACTGAGCAAAGGAAACAAAGGCTCAGAATAAGGAAATCTTGATTGCACCACTCACTCACAGTACTTTTCAAACTCCTTTTAGCTGCTAGTCTGGGTATTAGGCTCTACTGCTGGCTGATTTTGAGCTTGGAGAGAGAGAAATTCCCCACAATCAAAGGCTTTGGGGGCTGGGAAATTTCGAAACATAAGCCAAAATTATCATCAACAATGAAAGTAAGCACTGTGGATTGGTGTCTGAGTATAGTGACATGATCTTTCAATGTACTGAAAAATCCCCGGCGTGTACCTTTTTATATACAAAAGTAAGATAGTAGTCCAAAAATGGGGTAAGCGAGAGAGCGTCGGTGATTTCTCAACTATCACTGTAAGTATAAAGACAGGTCTCTGCTCTTAAGGATTAAGCGAGACTTATTTATCCAAAAAAGAATTAAGAGAGACTCACCACTTTGTTCATGCAAAACACCAACTCAGTCTGAGTTATGGTGAGGAAAACTTCACTATGATTATGATTATCACTAGTACTTCTATCTGTTGCTAATTGTAAAAAAATGAACATGTTCAGTATTCAGACATCAGGCCGAGAGTTTTTTTTTATATAACTTTTATCTCTGATTTTAACCAAGCACACCCATAAGCATGAAAGATTGCTTTAACTCGGCTCGACTCAACAGTTTGTAATGGTAGTCTTGCATTTGCAGACTGAGCTTAATACCATTCGTGGTCATGACAAAAGTTTTCAGATCGGGCTTTACCGCAAACAGTGCCAACCCTACTCCACTTGTTTTGGACTTCAGGTTGAACGTGGAAAAAGGTCCCTCTTGTCTACCACAGTTAAGGTGGTTATACGACGGAGTTAGGACCAAATGTTAAAAAGGATAAAATAGTTTTATATATTTATAAAAAGATAATAATTTACTAAGTGTTTAAATCCGAATATTAAGGGACTAAAACTTTTTTTAATTAATATTTAAATTAAAATGACTTAAGATACTATTTTCCTATGTCCCTTTCAAATATAACGTAGATTCGTCTCTACTTACAAACTATAAAACTTATGTTTTCATTCTTAGCTGAATCGTTAATTGCATTGACACTTGATTTTATGGGCAGTTGAGTTGGATATAAGATAAAATTAAAATGATATCATTATTTGCGTTTCTGACAAATCAAATGTGTGATATAAAAAAAATATTAATTTAGTTATGATCGATATTGACGAATCAAACATCTGTATCGCTTGGGAAAAAGCTAAATTTTATAGGGTAAAGTATAGTAATGGTCACTGAATTTTTTATAAAACTTTCATTTAGGTCCTTAAACTTTTAAAACTTACAATACAGTCCTCTAACATTTAATCCGTTTACAATATGGCCCCCGACCTAACCGGTCGTTTGACGTCGTTAGTACGTTTGCAATATGGTCACTAAACTTTTTAGGCGCTTGCAATTAGGTCCCCCAACTTTTAAAACATACAACACAATCCTCAATTTCATTCTAAACCCCAAATTCCATTTCAATCTCAAAATTCCTTTTTCGCTTCTCTATTCTCATTTCCAACGTAACTTTTCATTCGGAGATGCATAGAAAATTCTAATATAACTTTGAATTATGTGGAGGTATTGACTTGAATAAGGGTTCATTGAGAAAAGACCTGACCAACGGACTATCGGTACGGGTGTGCAAAAATACCCGACTCGGTTGACCCGACCTGTCGACCCGAACTTAAAAAACCTGTAATTTTCTAAAAAAATTACCTTGCCCGACATTTCTCGGGTTGAGTCCGGGTCACAAAATTGAGTTTTTCGAGTACTCGGTTAGTTTTTTTTATTTTTTATTATATATATATATAATATAATGAATTATTTATATTATGTATTATTAGATTTTGTATTTCAAACTTTTAAATTTTATGTTCGGATGTTGGAGTATATAATTTGAAGTTTCGAACATTTAAATTTGTGTATATTTTTTTAAATTAATAATTTGAAAATTAAAAAAAAGGGTACCATGTATCTGCAAAATCCGGGAACTCGATTATCGGGTACCGCAACATCCAGGTCGGGACACGGGCCAAGAAATCACCGACCCCGATATTGCGGGTACCCAGTTACCGGGTACCCGAATTTGCACACCCCTAACTATTGAGACCATCAACGATTCAAGGTGTAATGTTAGATACATGTCATCTCAAGTGAAGCATAGATGTTCGATGAAATGCTTGTGAGAAAAAAGAGAGGTTAGAAATGCGGAGTTGCAAATACTACTAAGATAAACTAAGTATCATTGTTGAAAGTTACCAACAAAGCTGAAATTATTTTGTATAAATGACATATAATAATTTCTTCGTTTAATTCTTGTGGTTAAAGATTTTTCAACAGATGATCAAATATAATGAAATCCCAAACAGCACATTCACCTCTCAGTCTCTTTCGCTCACATGCACTCTCGTTTGGTTTTTGTTCTTCAATTTTCCACCATGTAAAATTATAAACCCAAGCAGTGCTATATTTTTTTAGCTTTTTATTTCCAAATAAAAAATGGATGAAGAATTGTTGGAACGCAACACCGATTGCGTTTATTTCTTAGCCTATCCCCTCACTTGCAAAAATGTATTTATTTTCTCTTTTGGGCTATCCGGAAGTAAGCTTTTCCTCTTTCGCACTTTCCTATTTTTAGCTCGCACTGTGTGTTTTTTTGTTGTTGAAATTTTTATGTTTCTGAAATTGCATGTCAATGATCTGGATATTCAGTGTTTGTTTTGATCCAAAATCATATAATTTTCTTTCTTTCTTCTTAATAAAAACTTTTAGTACTCCTTATGAAATATATTCAGTCCATCTGAATAAAAGTGAAAGAGGGTCCTAGGGTATATATTTTTTATCTTATTGTTTGGTTTTTCTTTAAATCAGTGAATTGGTTGTGAGTATCGACATAGTGAAATCGCTAGGCTCAATATGAGAGACTGCTGGTACTAGTTTACTAGGAATTGTATTGATCTGACATGTGGTTTTCGCTGTCCTGTGAGCTCGTATTATTTTTAATAAGTTCATGTTGATTATGGGACTGATGTATTATGAACGAATTGGAATTTTTTACATGTTTTGGAAATTGAGGATTGTGTTGTAAGTTTTAAAAGTTGGGGACCTAAATGCAAGCATCTGAAAAGTTCAATGACCATATAGTAAACTTACTAACGGCAGTGTAACGGCGTCAAACGACCGGTTACTTTGGGGTCATATTGCAGATGGACTAAATATTGGAGGATTGTATTGTAAGTTTTAAAAGTTGGGGGACCTAAATGAAATCTTTAGAAAAGTTCAGTTACAATTACTATACTTTACCCAATTTTATAGTACATTTTGAGTGTTGATCCACATGTGTTAATTTGATAGTACGGTGAATCTTATCTAATTTAAATTGTTAATATATATTTAATTTTAATATTTAATCAAATGTTAACTAATATAACTCTAACTTAAAAGTATAAAATATTAATGTTATTACAATTTAAAGATGACAATTAAAATTGAAATAAATTTTATTTTTAAGATATAATTTAGAATTTGACTTTATCATTAATTAATTTCTAAATTATAAAAGTTATTGAAGCCAACGGATTCTTAAAAAAAGAAAGGCCCGTTTTTGTTAATTTACAAGATCTATTTTGAATATTTGAAGTGAATGTATCCGTTGGCACAATTGATGGTTGTTTCAAAATTCAAACCTTGATCTTTTTTCTTACCACCAACAGTTCCCTATACTCAAAATCAGCTTTCCCTTTCCCTCTCGACTCCTTTTCTTTTTGCCCTTTACAATTCCTTAAGATGGGTACCTATGGAAAATGGTTCAAGTCACTTGTAACTCCCAAACCACTTCAAGACCTCAGCAACAAGTATTTTTGCTCAATCCCTAAACTAAGATTCTCGTTTTCTGCAACTCTGATTTGTTTTCTTTCCGCTTTCGGTGTTTTATTTTTTTAGTTCATTTTGTAGGAGAAAATGGGAGATAATAAGTCTAAGAAGAAGTGGAAGCTCTGGAGGAGCTCCTCCGAAGGGTTCGAATCCTCCTCATCCAGGGGTCTTAAAACGCATCACGTGGCTGCTTCAGAGACCTCCGATTCTTCTTTCATGGCGGATGGTGCACTCGCTGCTGCCATGGCTACCATTGTTCGTGCTCAACCCAAAGATTTTAGGGCTGTGAAGCGAGAATGGGCCGCCATCCGAATCCAGACTGCATTTCGAGGCCTGCTGGTATATGGGTTACTCACTCTCTTTATTATTGTTTGATATTAGAAATATTTTTTTCATTTTGTTTATACGAAAGAATGATTTGGGTAAATTGTGTGGCAATTAGGCTTTTAAGAAGAATTAATCTTGTGTATTTAGCCATAAGTAATGTTTTCCCATTGTTTCATCTCGTTCATAGTAGCTCGTTCCTGGACCAAACCCGCTCATCATTGCTCAAACGTTCAAGTTAAATGGAAACTAACTGCATTTTGGTGAAAAATCTGTATGTTATCTGCTTTAAATTGCCGTTCTTTTTCATGGTAGGCAAGACGAGCTTTAAGGGCTTTGAAAGCAGTAGTAAGGATTCAAGCCATATTCCGTGGTCGTCAAGTTCGTAATCAAGCTGCCGTGACATTAAGGTGCATGCAAGCTCTTGTAAGGGTACAAGCTCGTGTGAGAGCACAATGTCTGATATTTTCAGAAGAACAAGCTGTGCATAAACTCAATGATCCAACCAAGGATGCTGAGGTTTTATATATTTTTATCTCCTATACCATTTCACCGTCAATTATTTGACAATAACAAAATGCTAATATGATGAAATGCTAAACAATTTTCCAGAAAGGATGGTGTGACAGTCCTGGGACTTTAGAAGAAGTAAGAGCGAAACAACAAATGAGGCAAGAAGGTGTAATGAAAAGGGAGAGAGCAATGTCATACTCTGTTTTAAAACAGGTAGAGCTCGAAAAACCTTTGATTTGAAGTGGGGTGCCAGAGTTTTGGTGTTTGACTGGTTTAATTCTTGTTAATAGCAGTCAAGATCATATGGCAATGGCAGCCCAAATTTGAGAGCAAACAAGCACCCATTCCCTCACAAGCATCATCATCAAAAGCTAGATTGGAATTGGGTTGATCATTGGATGGCAACCAAGCCCTGGGAAAGTGCAGATGCCAGTAACCAAGCCCGAGTTCTTGCAAGGCCTCCTATGGTCAATCAGACTTCAGATTCATTGTCTTCCCCTAGTTCCAACTCGGTCTACGACGAGAGCTCGACTTCGACGTCATCGGCATCCGTGTCTCCCACTGCATTAGAAGATAATCCTACAAAGAAACCCAGCTACATGAAACCTACCCAGTCTATCAAAGCTAGGACCTTCAGGTTTTCTTCTTCGGATAACATGCGGGGACACGTCGTTGATAGTGATGATTTAAAGTATTTTCACGAGAAAATGACGACTCTCTCCTGTGAAGACACCAGAAGTTGTGCTGATTCGAACCCATCATTTAATTTTTCCAGGGAACTGTGCCGATCGAGACAAGATTCCCCAAAGAAAAAATCAGTGGTGTCAAGGTAGAAGACGACAATTAAATTGTTCTGCATAAACAATTAATTATCCTATGTATCCTATAGTGCAATTCTACAAAAGACTTTTTTGTGGTGTTATGTAAACGATTAAGTATAATGTATTTTCACTTCTGCCGTGCAAAATCGTTGAACAATTATGCATGATGATGATAACTAAAGGATATGAAAATAATGAGAGGTTCCAAGATCAAGCAAAACTCAATCATTAATGAGGTAGCAATTCAAATCGATCAATAACCAAGTTGGGTTATATAATCTTATTAATTAAGGGATAAATTACACAGTTCCTCATTGAACTGTACTCCCTCTCCTATTTTCCTCACCCAACTTTCAATTTTTCTAATTTGCTCATTGAACTTTACAAATTGAATCATTTTGCTCACTCCCCCGTTATCTCTCTGACGTTTTGATGACATGTCATTTTTATTTTATTTTTTAATATAAAATAATTAAGAAAACAATAAAAAATTGAAGGTGGTCGGATGCCACTGCCGTCGATCGTCGTAGATGGCGGTCGTTCAATCTCAAATTTCATGGGTCACTTCACCTCGACACCGTGAGTCTGAATCCGACCTCCAGTTTGTTGGAACTTGCTCCGAAGTCCACGAATTTGATATTGAAAGTGAGGAAGTTGAAAAGTTTCAATCTAGATTCATGGGTTTTGAGACATTTTCCGGTGAAACAACCACCAGATTTGGACTCAAGGGGTCGAGATGAACCGACCCATGAAGTTTAGGATCGAACGACTACCATAAACAACGGTGGCTGGAATGAAAATGGCTTGGTGGCTGACGGTGGCAACTGATTGCAAAGTAGGAAGAAAATGGGGGGAAAGAAAAAGGAAAAAAATTAAGAAATTAAGAAGAAAAAATTATTTTATAATGGATTCGAAATGAGGTCGTTTTGGTGTATATTTGAGTTTTTCAAAACGATGTTGTTTTGATGCTTATGTCATTTCTTTTGTCATGTCATAACATCGTTAAATAGTAAATGACAGTGAGCAAAATGATTCAATTTGTAAAGTTCAGTGAGCAAATTAAAAAAATTGAAAGTTGGGTGAGGAAAATAGGAGAGAGAGTATAATTCAGTGAGAAACGGTATAATTTACCCTTAATTAAGTGAAGAATTGGAAAAGTAAAATATCTCAAACTAATTAAATGAAATAAAATAATTAAAATCTTAGGATTTTGAATACACCGCACAATGAGGTTAATGGATCTTTAAGCTTGAGTGAAAAACATATATTGTGAGATATTTTAAAGTACATGTTCCAAATTCTTATGTGACGTTTGGTTCGCTGGAATGTTTCTGAGGGAATTGGAATCTGTCAGGAATTGGAATCCAATTCCATATTCTGTTTGGTTCGCAGACATGTCACATGAATTTGATTTCAATAATGTAAAATGACAGGATTGCCCTTCTTATTATTATTTTTGCTTAATTTTAGTTTGGTTTATAAATTACATGTAGTAATATATTATAATTTTTTTAAAAAAAATTAAATTTTAAGTTTATTGATTGATTATTCATTTCAATAAATTATAAAAATCATGCTAATAAACATCATAAGTTAAAATCATCCCAATTAGTGATGGCCATGGGTCGGGTTGGGTCGGATTTTTGGTCCACCCGACCTGACCCGAGAAAAAGGGAACCTCCATACGAGACCCGACCTGACCCGACCCGAATATATGAATTAGAAACCCGACCCGAAATAATAAAAAAATTATTTTTATAATAAAAAAGTGACTTAATTGGAAAAAATATAGAGAGAGAGGGGTATTATTGTAATTATTCCTAAATATATAAGGTAAAATTATATATTTTTTTGGGTCGGATCGGGTATTTTTCACCCTAAACCCGAACTCGACCCCACTTGAATATTACACTTCAAAAAACCGACCCGACCCGATCAAAATAAAGTTTCACCCGACCGGACCCGAATATATAAATTAGAAATCCGACCCGAAATAAAAAAATTTATTCAATATATGAATAAGTAACTAAAAGATTGATGAGGGTAGTATGGTCAAATTTCAATTCCCTCTAACAAGGGAATTGAATTCAATCATAGAATGGATGTAATTCACTTTCCCTCATTTGATGGAAAGTTGAAGCCATAAGGGATTCCAATTCCCTTGGAAAATTTGAACCAAACATGAGAAAGTGGTGGAATTGGATTCCAATCCCCCCTAATTCCAAGGGATTCATGCCAACTGTAGACATTAAACTTTTCATAATTATAATTATAATAATTATTAATATATTATTATTATTTATTATATATATATATATATATTACAAATTACATCAGAGGCCCAATAATCCCGAATGGCCCAACAATGACCCAACCGGCCCAGACCCAAATAGAAACCTTGAACTAATTTGGGGTTTTAGCCAGGGTATCTCAACCCTATCCCAGCCGCCTCTGCTGTTTCCAGAAGCTCCCAGCCGCCCCTCCAACTTCCAGACAGTCCAGCTGCCAACGCCACGCCATTACCGACACTCCCACTGCCAGGTGCTCCACTCTGATGATGCCACCACGCCGCCGCCTCGCTAAATACTCCAGAAGCAGCCCCACGTCGAAGCCCTATGGTGAGTTACCACCATAGCTTGGTGACTCACAGCCAAGAGCTCTATTATCCGGTCCAAGGCGAGCTCGGTGGTGGCTATAAAAGCCACCACTCCTGCAAAACAAAAGGAGGGACGAACAACAAGCAACAAAGACCAGAAACCAAAAGGGGAGGGAGATACGAAAGGAACAAAAAAAAAACAGAGAGCAAAGAACTACACCAACGATCCCAGAAAAATAAAAACCGAAAGAAAAGAAGCCGAAATACTTACCATTATCGGAGGACTTCGAAGCGTCGCCTGAACCATTGTAAAACCGAAGATAAAACTTCGGTTTCGTTTAGATCTACGAAAATTGGTAAGACTTTATGCGAAAACAACCTTGGATTTAGGCCTAGAAAAATCGGGACTTTGGTTTAAGGGTATTTTGTATTTTCTGGCCACCGTGAGTGGTGGTCGGCGGGAAGCGTCGGCGTCGAAACAAGGAGGCCGGCCGGAGGCTTTAAGAGAGAAAAAAGAGAAAAAAAGATTCTCTCAGATTAGAGAGAGAAAGAAAGGAAGCAAATGAGAAATGGCTATTAGGGTCGGCTAGTTATAGGGTATTTATACCCAATATGAAACGACACCGTTTCATGGGTATAATTGCGCGTTTCGGGTAAAGGGTAAACCCTGTCCGCAGTGTTCCAAGATTGTATACCTTGCAATTTAGTCACTGAAAGTAATTTTTGACTATTATAATTTAGTCTTCGAAGTTTGTTTTATTTTATTTCAGTCATGTCCAGTATAATTATATATTTAGGGTGAATACTGAATTTAGTCCCTTATAGTTTAGTAATTATTATTTTAATCACAAACATCATGTTTTAATTTGTTTTAATTTAATATTTGAATTCAATATATATTTATTTTAGTCACTACATTAATAAATAGGTAATATATCATGTTTAGCCACTGTATTTTTAAATAATTAATTATAATTTAAGATACTAAATTTTAATATATTTTAATTTAGTCATTTACTTTAATATTTTCAATTACAAGCTTTATTGATTTATATTTTAAACTATATAGTTTTAATTTTATTTATTTTGGTCATTATTTAGTTGTATTTCAATTTTATATACATTTATTATTATTATCATTATTATTATTATAAATATATGTATAATAAATAATATTTATTTATTTATTTATTTTTATCCTATTTATAAATTTAATTTTATAAATTACTCTTAATAAAAATTATATTTTAAAAAATATATTTATTTTTAAATATTAAGAAATGACAGTCTTAAAGCAACTGGATATCCATTTTCTGATATTTTTAAATAAATAAATATTTTACTTTTATAAATTATATTTTTAATAAATGGTTTATTTATTTCTATTTTAATATTTTACTTTTATAAATTATACTTTTATAAATAATATTTGAATTTTTAAATTCTAATAATATAGACAATTTATAATTAAAAAATATCATTTTTGGGCGTTGTAAGGGTGCTAATCCTTCCCTAAACGTAACCGACCACGAATCCCTTTTTATTATAAAAAAAAAACGAATTTTGGTTAAAACGCAGACCGGTTTATCTTTTGACTGATGTTTTCTTAAAAGCTCTTTTAAAAGATAATTTTTAGGTATTCGACCTACTTGACCCAAAAGACCGATGGCGTCTCCCAAAAATATTTTTTAAAATCAAAATCATTAATTTATTCATATTACTTTTTCCGCCAAGTAAAATTTCGTGCCTCGACGAAAACCGGTTACGACACCAACCAAACGCCACCTTAATGTTACCTAAGTTTTTAACATCATTCGATTGGTAAAAGAGCACTAAGATCAAAGTAGCATCTAGACGTGGGGGATCTGTCCTCTAACAAAGGCTAGAAATCAGGACATGCTACCAAAAAGCTATTGATTTTAAACTTGATAAATATTCGCAAATGAAAGGGGAAATTAAGGAAGAGGAAAAGTTACGGGAGACTTCCTTTCTTCATTTTTGTGTAAACAGGACATCCTCATTGGAGAGGATTGCCATGAAGATAAGGAAGGTGGTGTGGGAGACTCGTGGGGTCTCAATAGGCATCCTATATATATATATATATTTTATTGAATTGAGTATTCTACATTCTACGGTTGTTGTCTAAGTTAAAGGGAATGTTGAGGGTGAAGCCGTACGTCTAATAATTTTTAAATTTTTATATAATTTAAATATTTTTTTATATTTTTATTGATGATCTAATTTTATATCTCATGATATAAAATTTTGTATTTGTCTCTACTCGTTCAATGTGAAATTGTGCTTTGAATCACTTCATATAATTTGTATAAATTGATACCAAACTTGAAATGAATTTTTTTATATTTAGTCTAGTTTTGTCAAATTTAAAGACTTGAATACCGTCTTAAGGTGTATA